TGTCAAACAGTGCAAAATAGTGTCAAAACAGTGTGCTCTATAGTAAAATTTATCCCTCAGAACTTTAATAAAGGGACATAGTTAGTACTATCCTCGGTATCATAATAATTGCAACATTGGAATTTACACAGTATTCATGTACTCTACTTTGACTGCATATTATTTATGAATGTATGTGAAATATTTTTAAAAAAAAAATATTGTTGAATTCGTCTCAGTACAAAGTTTCATAATCTGATTTTTAAAAGTTTTTTACTTATAGATAATTAAATATAATGAAGGTCAAAGTTGTGCATTGACAAGCGTGAAAAAAGGAAAGTTGCAACTAAAAAGAAATGGAGGAAGTATTAGATTAGTAAATTATGAAGTAAATTATTATAAGCAATATTTTTCTTTGATATTTATCAATAATTATGACATTAAAAAATACACATCTGATGTTAATAAATAAAAATTAGTTCAAGGGCTTATTTGACCCTTTTTCCTAAAAACAATAAGACATATTCAGGTAAAACTTGGTTATTTGTGGAAGCACCATGAACAAAATATCTGTTTTGGTGTTTATTTGCCTAAAAACTCCCGCAGTTGGAACTTCAATCTTTTTTAAACTTTATATATGCAATATTGTTGTCATATGAAAAATCATAAAATGTTATGAGTCTAAAATTTAAAAAGTTATATTTCCTCCGTCTCGTACAAAAGTTCTCATGTGATTTATGATGTTTGACTGACCATAAAATTAACTAATCCATGTCTATAACAAAATTATTTTTAGTAAATAAAATTTAAATATTCTGAATTTGCATTAAAAGTCTTATAAAGTCGCAAAAGAAAACTCAAATTTGATAACAGTTAGATACATAAAATTAAAGATTAAGAAAACTTTACATTGACCAAAAAATAGTGGACGAGAAACTTTGTATGGAAAAAAGGTAGTAACACTATAAAGATTATTGGAAAATTACTTATATACACAACTTGTACACAAGTTGTACATAATATAAAAGTAAAATAAATTCTCATTTTTGTCCCTGTGCCTTCTCTCTCCATTCTCTCTTCCATCTCTCTCCCTTATCTCTTCTCTCTTTACCCAGCTCCTTCGAAAATTCCAAAAAAATGGATGATCTTCTCCTCTTATTCACCCTCCTCCATCATCTGTTTCTATACATTTTTATATAAAAAAAATTCCTTTACGTCCACAAAATCAGTTTATTCATCTTATTTCATATATTTTTATTTATTTTTCAAATTACATGTAAATTGATCACACATACAACTACATCATTCATTTGGACGTATATAGACAATTAAATTTTTTGTTCACCCAAACAATTAAAATTGATCACACAGACAACTAAAATAGATCACACATACAACTATTCTTCGTAAGCCGCACAATTATTATCTGTTCACACGGGCAAATAATTTTCTGTGCACATGCAAATATTGTTTGTGCACACAAGCACTGCAAACATATAGATTGATTTGCACGCTACTGTCAGTGTTAGGCAATTGTTAATGTACTCTTTTACACGAAAATTAATGTGCTCACGAACAACTCGATACCAATTGCATGTGATCGACATTTTGTGAACAAGTTGTGTACACGAAGCATTAGACCTCCCACAAACAAAGGTTGCGGTCTTTCTCCCCCTTTCTTTCATGTGTTCGACATATTTAACTATGTACTCCCACCTTTCAATTTTACTCCCCAAACTTTATCCCCAATGCAACAAGTTAGGATTCTAAAATGTCTATTTTTATTATTTTGTACCCAACTACCTTACCAGTACGAGTGGTCTAAGAGCATCTTCAATGGAATTTTAATCCTCTTACACATCCTTAATCTTTATGTGTATTGGTAAGGTCTAAGGGCATCCTTTTGGCATAAAATTTTTTATATCCAATTGGAACGTACTCCATATTTATTTTAACTTTCATTTTTATATCACTTTTTCCTCACTTTTCATCCACGTTTGCTCCTCAAATCATGTGTAAAGTTCATGAGTGGACATTGTCATAGACGTTATCAACGCTTTATTTTTGTCTCTTTCATCTTTTTAATTTGTCTCAGCATTCGCTTTCTCTATATCAAATTAAAATAATTATTCGGTCTATATTTCTCTGATTCCACATCGGAAGGACTTCATCAATCATCATACTACATTATTCTAATGGAGATGCTCCGATACCTTACCACTTGACACTTGTGCCACTTCAAAAAGTTATTACGTCATTGGGTAACCTTAGAGCCCGTTGTGAAAACAATCCGTTATTACGTCAAATAAAAAGTCTTGTTGTATAGAGAGGGTTGTGGAGTGGTTTGGAACAAGCCCCCATTGGGTAATCTTAGAGCCCGTTTGGTGACTTAATTTGTTTTTTGGCTTATCAGTCAACTTTTTACTAAACACATAACTTTTTATTTTGTGCGCTGAATTATGTAATAGTAAGAAAATATAAGATTTGAGTTGCTTTTCTGGCTGTATAACTGCATTGACTGAAGTTACTGTAGATGACCATTTTAGCTATTTTCATATAATTTTTTCTTTATTTTATTAATATAATATTTTTTAAATATAAAATTTTCATAAACCAGCAGAAACAATCAATACAGTCATTTCAGGCAGAACTTCATAAATCTCAGAAGAATCAGCCGATTTGAGTGTTATCAAATGGGTTCTTAATGTGGCTTCTTATATTACTCCGTATTCTTTCAAAAAAAATATTACTCCGTTTTTTTACTCCAGGGGGTCTGGGGGAGGAGGGCTGGAGCAGTGGCGGACCCACTAAGGATCCCACGGGGTCCCGGGACCCCATGGACCTCCAAAAAATACCTATATATATTTGTATATATTTTACATAAAATTAAGTAATCAATGTATTTATACAATTGAAACTGATTTAGAATACAAATATGGAGCTAGAGCAACGGTTGGAGTCTCAATCCTGAGGCTCTATACGTGCGGGAGGTTAAAGGATTGATTCCTTTAGGAGTCATCTTTTTGAAAATAAAATTATGGAACAACTTAGCGCACCTATTGTTATCATGCACCTCTATAGCCCAACTTTTAATCTAATTTTCTCAACCTATACCCAATTTTTTTCTTAACAAATACTACTACTATAAAGTCAGTATGTATCCCCAAATTTAAGCTTATCTATTTTATAAACTAATTTCATCATGAAACACGTAATTCTTGAATTCACGCACTGAATTTGTAATAATTAAAATAAGCAAGTTAAAATCATTTTTTCAGCGAGATGACTAAAGTTACCGTAAGATCATCATCTTAGCCACTTTTTCATATGACTTTTTTTCATGTCTTATAACATACTATCCTCCGTATCACATTATTTACAACATTGAAATATATACACTATTCATATACTTTACTTTGACTACATTTTATTTATTAATGTATGTGAATTTTTTTTGAAAAATATTGTAAAATCCGTCTCATTACTAAGTCTTATAATCTGATTTTTATTTTATTTTTACTAATACAAAATTAAATAGATGGTCAAAGTTGTGCGCTGGCAAACGTGAAATGTTGACTGTTGCAACTAAAAAGAGATGGAGGAAGTATAATTTAAATATCATTATTTCCTAATATAGCAGTTTGAGTCGCTTGAGCCATTATCGCAAAATCAGCCCAACAACAAAGTCCTTAAAGTTACACTAATAAATTGGTAATTGTATTAAATTAAAATAGAAACAAAGCTAACGAATATATTTTAAATAAAAATCCAAATAAAATAATGCGAAGTAATTGGATCGAAATTTTCAAATGTAGTTTTTTTAAATTTGATTTCTCATATGCAAGCCCATTATTTTTAGTTGATAGAGGACATTAACTTTATAAAAATTTAGTGCCCGTTTAGTGACTCTGTTTTCGGCTTATCAGGCTTATCAACCAACTTTTTAACCAAACATGTAACTTTTGATTTTGCGCGCTGAATTATGTAATAATAAGAAAAATAAGGTTGAAGTTACTTTTGAGGTTGTATTGACAGTTGTTGTAGATGACCATTTTATCTATTTTTCATATCATTTCTTCTTTATTTTATTAATATAATATATTTTAAATATAGTTTTTCATAATCAGCAGAAACAGTCAATACAACCACTTCAGTTAGAACTTCATAAATTTCAGCAGAATCAACCGATTCAGCCGATTTCAGTGTTACCAAACAGGCTCTAGTTGATAGTAGACATTTCTTTAAAATTGTTGTATACGTTATGTTAACTATGAAATGTTATGCTATTTTAATATTTTACTTCTTTTTATTAATTTTTTATTGATTAGAGTTACGTTACAGTAGGGACCCCGTGATTCTGAGTTTCTGGGTCTGCCACTGGCTGGAGTAATCAGGGCTGAAACTCATTCCATTGAGTTTCAAACACTTTGTGTAGTTATGTGCCTAGCGTAACCTCGCAAATGTAGCAAATATTTGTCCCTTCTAAAAATTCAATACATTCAGCCAAATCCACCGGACAACCCTACCATACTTGTTTTTAGTTTATACGATGTATTATTCCTATATAGATTTGAGATTTATAAAAAAGGGTTGTTAAGATATTTACTAGGCCCTACATAGTCTTCTCCTCCAAAACAGAACTTAAGAAACTTGTATCACGTTTTCAAGATCAGTTATCACAGTTTGTCACCTTGCCATGGGCACATGACGTTTCGAGATCAAGAAATCAAGAATATCTTGATAACGCTAAAAAATGGCGGTACTACTCCAAAGTCATAAGAAAACGAGAATTGACACAAGCTTAACAAGTTAATAATTGGAAGTTTTCAAACCAAATGGGCAAAAGGGAAGCTCACCACAATAGAATTTATGAACTGCTTATGCACTTACACTTGTTTGACCTTTCACTTGTGAAGGTGGCAGCTACAAGTTTCACAAAATCATTAAACTATCATCAAGAAACAAAGAATTAACTTCAAGCGTGCACATTCTTTGTTCATGTACGTAGAGTAAGGAGCATATGGCTATTCATATTGACATTGCTGCTATAATATGACTATATGAGCTTCATGTTTAGGTGAAAACACTATAATTTGAGTTCTATTTTTGCAGTTGGAAATATACATCCAATTTCAGTTTCTGCACTTTACACGATGTTGAATGAGAATTAAGCTCTATCTAGACAATAGTCCTTGTATATACTCTATGGTCATTTTTCAAACACCAAACTCCTAAAAGATCTCACTGCAAATGGAGGAATAACAGGGCAAAGATAGTCAGGCTAAGACCAAAATGGAAGGTGATGAAAATCTCACAGATTTTATGATATCTGAGCCTCCATGAACCTGAGAATTGGACGTCATACTTGAGCGTCATGTTTGGGAATACAACTCCCCAGTGTTGTCCTTCCCTGCTCCCATTTCCCTTGTCATACATTTCATCAAACAGTTGATAGATGAAAGTTTGAGAAACACCTTCTTGCCGCAACGGAGTCCCCATTCCTGATCTGAGGTGAGAAACCAAACCCTTGAGGTACATCTCAGCATATAGATGACTCGCATCAGCCACCGCACTGGATTGTTGGTTGCCGCTGCCGGATTCAGAGCTCGGCCACCCTGTCTCTGTCACCACTATCGGAATGCTCTCGTGGCCTGCAACAGCCATTGCGGCAACAACGGCGTCCACCATCATGTCAAAGAGATTGTTGTACCGGACACCTGTGATAACATCGTCGCGATAATTGAATGCTCCTTCTCTGAACAAAGCTAATCCGACTGTGACCTCCGCGTGGAGCTTGTAGACCGTGTACGGATAGAGATTGACGAGGAACGACGAATTAGTGTCCTCCAGAAACTGGAGCAAGGGTCTCATGATAACGGAATTCGCCGGCTCCTGAAACTCTCCAGAAGAGGGAGGGAACGTCTCGGTGACCACATTGGTGAAGGAGAAGGTGGTGGAGACGGAGATCGAACGGATGCCGAAATCTCTTAGAGCCGAGTGGAGATTCTGTATGGCCGGGAGAATAGCGGTGGAAGGATCGTAAACTCCGGAAGAGGCGGAGGAGATGACGTCAGCTCCGACGGAGATGATGGAGACTCGAGAACGGGGGTAGAAAGGAAGCACATGATCGTAGAGCCAAAGGTCGGCGGAGCTGCGATTTTTAGCGAATGAAGGAACTAAATAATTGGGGACTGAGAGAAGCAGAGAAATGTTGGTGTAGGAGAATGCACGCACGGCGGACGGGGTAGGATCGACAATGCGGACGGCGGAGACGTCGAGAGCAGTAAGATAGTTGGCCACCTGCTCAGGCGATGGAAGGCCGGGCGAAGGAGTGTACGTGAATCCGATGGCCGATGTACGTGCGGCGGAGGCGCCATGGAAGTGGAAAAGCTCTGCGAGAACGAGGACTAGAGAGCAAACAGAGAAGCTCAAATGCGCCATTTTCGCTACCATTCTCTGCTCTGAAGTTGAAGATCAGACAGAAAGATTTTTTAGCTCTGTGTGGCGGACTGGCAGTTTAACGGTGAGGCCGGAAGAAGCGAGTCGACTCAGTTAGTTTGTTAGTTATGAAACTAATACGGAGTACATATCAATCAGAATTGCTACTTGAAATTACATCACCACCATCATCTTATTTCTCACGAAGTAATTTTAATTATTCTCTCCGATCCTAAATAAAGTTCACACTTTTTTTTGGGTCGGTTCAAAATAAAGTTACACTTCTTCCTTCCTTATTTGGCAAATGATCTACATCAAAACATTGCAAAACAGTGTCAAACAGTGTCACAACAGTGTACTCTACAGTAAAGTCAAATTTATTTCCTTAATTTGTGTGAAGTCAAACATTGAACTTTATTTAGGACCGGATGGAGTATTATATATAACGGTTCCTTAGTGGTTGTTGAAGTTTAATCCCGTAGATCCGAAAGCCCAACACAGACTTTGGATATATCAGGAAATGGACAATAATTCGGTATGTAAAAGAAATATAAAAGATCGATAATTGAATGCTCAAAAGCCCACTTGTATTAATTGACCTGTTTGATTACAAGGAAATTACCCGAACGGTACGTCGGATTGATGCTTAATACAAGAAATAAGAATAATAAGGCTATTCTAGGGCTTGAGTATTAAAATGCTAACTCTTACAATGATATTAAACCTTCTATTTATACTAATGGAGAGTATGGGACATTTATGCTGTTTGGCCGATGTTCCACCGACTTGATCACCCATGCCCTCCACTTGATGATGTCACAATCTAGCATTAATTGCACATGGCCATCTGTTGGTTGTCCGTTGCCCGAACGGGATAATGGGCTCTGTAAAACATTGTTGATTTGGCCCAAGTATAATGTATGACCTGAACCCCGTTCGGTATGTCTGTTTTCTGGGCCAACCTTTACTTGGCCCGAACCTCGTTCGATATGAATATCTCACTGGGCCTACTTATCCTAAGGTAGTGGACTCGTTGTTTGGGCTGGATGTCCTGGGCCTTTAATCCGGGTATTGGGCCTCCGGGTCAATATCCCAACACGAGTCCCCCACTTCCGATGTCTCGAATGACAGTGAGTGCATTAGGAAGTATAAGTGCCATGATATAACTGTCGAATGGAGATCGGGGTACAGAAGTGGTCAGTTCCCCATACTGTGATTTGACGGCTGTCGTTTGAGTTTTCCCATATTCGTCATGATTGTTGATCTTTGATCTTCCATGTGACACGTGTTATTTCAAATAGTTCCATTGACGTGTCTCTATTTGATTGGTCTTTGATACGGCGTTTGTAAGGCTATAAATTAGCCTTTAACTCCTCAAATCCGGGTTTCGAATTTTCAATCTCTTCGTGCTTTTACTCTGCCTTTTCTCTCAATCCTTTCAAGCTTTTCGTGTCCAGGTACTTCTCATCCCTTTAAATCCCTCTCTTCTTTGATCCGATCGTTATGAGTTCTGGACTGTGTTCCGATTCGGAAATGGCTTCCCATGGGGAAGACCATGATGTGGAGATTATCACCGTCCCTTTTGTTGAGGGCTCCAAGGTGGCGACGGCGGAGATTAGGACGGAGACGGAGGATTCCTCCGGCAGTTCTTCTTCCTCCGGTGAAGATTCTGATGACACCAAGTCTGATGATGAACTGACTTCCATGGCGGCCGGACGTCCCAACGATTTCCCTCGTCACATGCTTGACCTAAGACTGATTAGGGAGATGCGGCAAAAACTGACTTCTCACAACAGGGCCGAAATTCCAGCCCTAATCCCAGACCCAGTGGACTTCCGATTACGGGCTGGGCTTCACCCAATGCGCCATACCCCTGGGATGGTTGTAGTCCACTTCGATTCAGTTAGGGCCGAGCTTAGGTTTCCATTACATTCTTTTTTCGTTTCATTTTTTAATTTCTATGAAATTGTACCGGCCCAAATCATGCCGAACTCCTATCGGGCAATGGCGGGCCCTGCCGACCCTAGACTTATTTCACCAATTTTTTAAAGTGCCCCCCAACAAACACATGGATATTTGGCTACTAGTGCCCGAACGGGACATATTCTGTTTAAGGTCAATCCGACTTCAATCAAGGGGTGGAAAGATCGGTTCTTCTTTGTGTCGGTCCCGGACGGCCTGATCCCCCGCAAATGGAATGCCTTCCCTCACAAATCTCCTGATCCAGTCCTTACTGAGGAAATTTACAAGGATGTGTTCGATGTGGAGAAGGACAAATGTGTAGATATCATGAGTTACTTGACTCCCGATCGGCTTATCGAAGCCGGGATAGGTACTGCCCGTTCTCTTAGGTTTACTTGTTTTGAGAAATCAAGTGCCATGGTCCGGGCGGTCCTTCCTGTGCGAGAAACGTTCTCCTTTTTTTGTTTCCCACGTGATAAGACCGCCCGGTACTAACATTTTCCTTTGTTATTTTCTAGCTCCCAATCCAGACACACATATGGACAATAGCTAAGTTCTTGCAGCCGGTGGGGTCGGGAAACAGAAGAAGGCAATGAAGAATCCTCAACCCAATCCTTCCACCACCAATGCTCAGGATGCTGGGTCTTCTCAACCCGTTGAGGAGCCCCAACCAATTCAACAGGTCCCTCATCAGGACCAATTTGATGCCATGCTGATCGATAATTGGTTCGGATCTGATCAGCTGCATCAATTCCTTGAGCATTTCCAGGCTGCTCAGGAGACCAACATGACTGCAGGTGAGACCAACACTGTCCACCTTTCTATGCAGGTTGAACGGATCTCTCTGGCGGATCGAGTTCATGAAATGTTGGAGAAAGCTGGTTCTCCTGCAAGCCAGATTTGGTCCACTTCTTCGTGGTTCAACAACTTTGTCGTCCCTAGGATGCCGGTCGAGCAATCCGAAGAATGCTTGGCTTTGGCAGCTCTAAAGGTATCTCACTTTTTCCTTATAGTTTTCTCATAGTTTAAATTCTGTTCTACACCATCTCATTTCTCGAACGACATTCTGCAGGTTGGGCTCTACAGTCTGCAGCTGAAGGAGGCTCGACTGGCTAAAGAGCGGGACCTGATCGTCGCTCAGACTTCTACGGAGCAGAATGCGGCTGCTGCCTCTGCCGCTTTGGAGACCGAACGGAATGCCTCCGTGGAGGAGAAGAGATGCCTCGAGTCAGAACTTGGTGAGCTCAGGGTTCATCTCGGGGCCTTCCAAGCCAAAGTTCACGCTGCTGAAATTGCTTTGGTGAAGTTTGAAGAGAGCGCTCCCCGTATCCCGGACGGCCCTGCTGAGGTGAAGGTTAATCTGTCCGCCGTCCGGGAGGCATTCAAAGGGTCTGAGGAGTTTGCTGCCCTGAAGAAAGATTATGCGCAGCAGGAACTCCCGGCCACCTTCGGTGCTTATCTCTATCGATTCTCCACGGGTGATGCCCGCCGCAGCGAGGGGGTTAAGCTGCTCGACCAGGATCCAAGGGGCAAGAAATTCAATGACTCCCTGGCCCGCTCTCTTTGTGTTATGGGCTGCCAGCATATCCTGGCCCCCTTTGTGGCGAAGCTGCAAGAGATGCTAGGGAGGCCGGTCGAGCTTACTGATCTTCCCCAGGTGCCCATCGTTGAAGCCCAATTTGAGAAATATCAAAGGGACTTACAACGGGTTGCTGATCGTGAAGCGGGGAGAGAGCCTGATCCCCCCACTGATTCGGATGAGGAGGAAGGTGATGAAGAAGAGACTAGGGAAGGCCACTATATTTAGAATTTTGTTTTTCATCAATTGTAATCCCTTCCCCCCTTCTCCTTTTTTGCCAACCATAATTGTATTTTCCGGCCGATAGAGCGGATGAATATATATGATATCTTTTTTGCAAAAAGCTTCACATATTGTCTTTCTTGCCTATATTGATTTATTGCTTACCATTCGGGATTCGGTGCATTTTATAGGACTTAGCAGTTTTTCTGGCCTCATTTTTTATCATTCTCCATATCATCGTTTGGGCTTCAGATAGTTCTGACAATTTACCAGAATTTGGCCTTTCTCTTGTGTCGATAGCCGTTCAGGCTTCAGATAATTCTGTTGGACTTAGTCGTTTAGTGAATCTTTTTTTATGATATCCCCATCTATTCCACATGACTGTTAATAAAAACCCTGTTCGGTTTATCTTGTTGCCCCTATCTTTTGACTCGTCCGAATCCCGAGTTTTCCCCATCCCGCCGATCTTTATCTGTTGTTCTTCCAATACTACCCGTTCGGTGTCTCTAAAGATACTTGTTTCAAATTTATGGCTTATGCCGACCTTGGCTCGGGATGTCTCTCAGTACAACCACATTTCACCACGTGTCCTTCATGGGTTAGGGTTTTGGGCGACATCTTTGCTTATAAATAGAGGTGCTTCTTTTCCATTTCTTTTGTTGCTTCCTTAATTTTTTCTTGCATATCTCTAAGCTTTCTCTCTCTAGAATTCTCAGGATTCCTCAAGTGGTTTAATTTACTTTTCTTCTAGCTTAGAATCTGAGGAAATGACGCTTATCCGTGTGGAAAAAACTCCTGCTGTAAACAAGGCCGAAGGCTCTTCTTCCCAAGTACCTAATTCCACTAATCCTCCCATACCCAAAGATGCCGAACAGCCTCTTGACGACGGATGCCTTTCGGGAGACGATGTAAAGATCTATAACAAGGGAATGCCCGAATGGCCACCCCGCATTGCTTTGCATTTCACCCGCATTCAAAAACAAAAGCAACGTCTTCCTGAAGACGCCGAACGGCAACTTGGCCAACTTCTGCCTCCGCCTAGAGAATTTTATGCTGGATTCATCAGGCACCCTATGAGGCACCGATCGGGGCACGTGCTTGTGCATCTTGATGCATTGATCGCTGGGCTTCACTTCCCTCTACATCCATTCGTTGTGGAGTTCCTGCGTCGGGTCTCCGTACTTCCCACTCAGTTCATTCCCAGCACCTACCGCATTCTGTTTGGCTTCATAATTCGATGCCAGGAACTACGGATCGCACCAAGTGTCGATTTATTTCTACACCATTACTGCTATCAGCCCTATTGGACTACTGGA